GCTTTTGAGATTTGCCCATGTTGCTTGGTGCATGGACCGTCTGTCCCTTTCTATTGCTGATTAGTACTCCATTGTATGGATGCACCACAAAAACCTTGGTTCTTTTAATAGAGAAACTTAAGTAATCAAAGACCTGGCAAAGACAACATGAAGCACAGGAAATGGTCTTGACAAAACCCAGAATCTTTATTTCTCCGGCAGACCACTCAAAAGTGAAAGAAAAACCTTTACAATCTTCCATCAAGAGCCGACCAATATGCCAAAAAAAATTTATTGTTTTAACAGAGATGAGCTCAAATTATAGTTTTGCATCATTTTGATATTAATGATGATAAATTCATTCAATTTTAGTCAGCTTGACCACACAAGATTTTTCTCTCTTCTCAACTTTCGATAGCCATTTAGTTTTTGTCCTTCATTTTACTTTTTCCTTAACAAAAAACACATCTTCATAACTGATACCTTTTCTTAACTGTTGTGCTAGCATTCTGTGATTGGCAAATCTATGAATACATAATTTTGTAATTTCTAGAAGCATATGTTTCCTCATAGTTCAACTTTTCGATGTAGCCCAGGACATGTTTACTAAGAGACCCAAATATTTTTAGTTCCTCTCTCCAAAATTAGATAAACTTAAACTTTTGTTTGGCAATTAATGTTGCAGTATTTTATGTGAAATTAATGTCAGTTTAATTCACTTAACAATTATGCCTGGATTACTTATGGAAATTTCATGAGACATTAAATAGCTAAACATCTCAAGTTATTTTTCTTTCTGAGAAATTTTATAACAAAGAGGTAGCATGAGCTTATTTGTAATTCACTTGTTATATAACATGAGTTTATTTAACAAGTAAACCTAGGTAGATTGAAAGTTTATGTATACATTATATTTGATGCTGACAATTCTGAAGGCATATTCTTTTTTTTTTTTTTCCCTTTACCAAGGATTACCCAATTCATGTGAACTTGAAAAGCATTTGGGTTAGTTCCTATTTTTCTGAGAGTTTTAGGAATACTTAATATATATAACCACTTGTTTTTATTCCTATGTATATTTAACATACATACCTATCCATAAACATACAGACAGAATTAGAAATCTTATAGCTTTTATTTCAAAATTTTACTCATGTGTCAGGTATAATAACACAAAGCTTATTAGTTTATAAAAGAATCTGGATCCAAATAATGCCTCTGGCAGATGGAATAAGTTGAGGTTACCTGCTGAGATGGCTAAAGCTTTTTACTAAAGATTTTTCATTTGCATGCTACAAGGAATCTTTTAGAGCATCTATTCTTGAGTCATTTTGTATTTAGAAGCTTCTGCATACAAGTCAAAGAATGAATTCCATTGCCTCTGAGAGATTCAGGATCCTCTCCTTTCAAGGGCACCCTTAAGGTGTGAGCTGTCTTGTCTTAGTTAGAATTTCCTTAAAGTGGTCACTGCAATTCCAAATTATCCTTTGTGAAATTCACTCATTTGTTCAAAAGACACAAGATGGTGAACAAATGTGTTCTACATTCTATTTGCATGCATTCTATTTTGGACCAGGTGGAATTCATTTGCTTTCTATTTTGGACCAGGTGGAATTCATTTTGCCTTAGATACTCTAAGTGGTCTTAATCTATTTTTCAACAGCTGATCTGAAACATGGGGGACCATGTGTTTACCTTCTCCCCCTTTAGAACAAATAGAGTGACCTACCAAGAAACTTCAACAAAGGTTGCTCAACAAAATCAGAGCTCAACGCAAGGGGAGTAGAGCTGGGATTCAAAAGAGACTTGCTGTAGAATCCATGGTTGGGTGAGAAAGCAGAGAGCACAGTGGGCTCTGTGGGTATGTGGTCACTCACTAACCTCAGGGCTCATCAGGGGTCTTCTGCTCATCTCACTTCTGACACCAAAAACTGTCAAAAGAAAACTCAGAAGGCTTTTTTTGATATAAATATTTTATTGGGTGAGAAATAAACTGTTTGCCAATAGGGAGACTTTAAAACTGAAAGTGTAAGAGACTTGTCTCATGAAGCTTATAGCATAGCATAAAAGAGGAAGTTCATATAACTTAATTCTCAATGGTTAAGGCAAACAGGTTAGTTAAGCCATCACTGGTTTGCTATAATGTGCTGAGTCATGCTGACAAAGAAGCTCAAGTTTCATGTACAATTTAAGTAGGTATATTGGGAAATGGGTCTTATAAGTTTTGCTGAGCTGGGCGTGGGACAGTGGCTCAGAGGCAAAGGTTTATTCTGGCCTCCATTTTGATTTTTTTTTAACCAGGACCATTTTGTTGCCTAAGATTTGGGATACTATCTCCTAATTTTAGTCTTTCTCTTCTAATAGACTGCTACTCTACTTTTATACATGTCCTTGGTTTTGTGCCTCTCCCTTTGTCTTTTAGGTATCTTGACTCAAAAAGTAAGAATTATGTGTACATAGTATATTTTGGAAAATGTATAAAAATACAAAGAAGAAAATTAAAAAAAAACCATTAATCCCACTACTTATGAATGTTGTTATAATCTGAGCTCAATAGTGAGTTATCTTAGCAAAATAGCATAATAGAGAAAAGAAAGTCTTTGGAGACAGACCTGGTTTTCTACCCCAGATTTGCCACTTAACAGCTGTGTGACTTTGAGTCAGTATTATTTAAGCTGAGCTTTGTTTTCCTCATGCAAAATGAGAATAATATACCTGCCAGGTCGGGTGTTTGTGAGGATTCGTAAAGTGTTTGTTAAGTTGTAAGTGCTCAGGAAATGTTAGTTCTCTAATGTTTTTCTTATTTAGATATTTCTGCTCTTTTATATTCCCTCCCTTTTTGGTTCAAGATAGTAGAACCTGATTTTCTTCTCTTGAAATGTTTTGCTTCCTTCATGAGCCATTTGCTTTTGTTCTCTAGTCATAGAACAATACCTAACTTTTCTCTGAATCTTAGGAAAGAAGTTTTAAGATATATTTAAATCACATGTTTGATTTTGTCTAGTATTCCATGTTTTTACTAATACAGTTTTCAAAATAATCTAGTCATCTTGTCCCAAGGTTTTTGGCATTGAGATATTACTTCCTTATTGGTTGTAATAGCATTTCCTTTCATGTTTTCCTAAGTGGGTGAAAAGTGATGCTTGTTTATTATAGAAAATTAGGAATATACAGAGAAGTAAAAAGAATATTTGAGATTATAAGTTTTTCTAGTACACTTAATATTTTGGTGTATTTATTGTTTTTACATGTGTTTTTTAAATTTGTTAAAAATTTCTAAAATTTTATTTATTTATTTATTTATTTTTTCCTTTTTGTCTTTTTTT